TGCCCCATTTTTCCTTGGGGGAGTTGATCTACTCTGGTTATTCATGTTGCCTGAGCTTTTCTGCTGATTCCACCCCATGCTGAATTTACATCATTTGGAGTCCATCCCAGAACTATCCCTCCAGTGGCTGCCACTGGAGAAGATGCTGGCTTCCTCTGGATGTCAAGAAAGACAGGGCATGTCTGTCTGGAAAAGCCTCAGGGGTGTGAGCCTTATTGTTCCCCCTGCTGCGAGTGCTGCTCTTCACCTCGGGGTATTGCTGCTCTAGTGTGGTCTCCTCTCAACTGACTGTCCTTTCGCAGTTCTCTGGCCACCTGGCCCGGTGAGGGTGGTGGAAGCAGCCGGGATCCACCTGCCATGGAGGAATGCAGGGCTCCAGCAGCAGGACTCTGGCCATGCAGCACCTGGCAAGGGTGGCGAGGGTGGCAGGGGCAGTGGAGATCTGCCTGCCACCTGGGGAACATGGGGCTCAAGCTGCAGGACTCTGGCCACCTAGCACTCGGCAAGAGTGGCAGGAGCAGTGGGGATCCACCTGCCATGGCAGAATGCAGGGCTCTAGCAATTCTCTGGCTTCAGGGCTGGGACATGGTACTTGGTCCCACAGGGGTGAGGGGACACTGCTCTTGGCCTTCCCCTCACTGTCTCTGCAGGCAAGGGGGGAAGGGTGAACTGGAAATTCAAAATGGCCATGAAAACATTAGTTTGATTTTTCTGCCTGGAAAGAGAGTGTTCAGAATCTCAGCAGAGTCCCTCTAGGGAAGTAGACCCTACTTCCTGTAGCTCTCACCCATAGGGTAAAGTAATAAGTCCTCAGTTCCCCACTAACCTGTAGAAAACTTACAGGAGCAGATGAAGAGAAAATAAAGAGAAACCCAGCCCCAGCCAAAAACTGCCAAAAAAAAAAAAAAAAAAGAAAGAAAGATAAATTATAAAAAAGAAACAGAAGAAGTAGACCCTAGGTCTTTTAGTCACCAAGCATTGTAGCTATTTTCAAAGTTCAACAGTATACTTTTCTTTATTTCCTTCTTGAAACTAAATATAGAATAATATTTAGACCAGCGATGGTTCTCAACCTGTGGATCGCAACCTCTTTGGGGTTGAACGACCCTTTCACAGGGGTCACCTAAATACATACTGCATATCAGATATTTACATTATGATTCATAACAGTAGCAAAATTACAGTTATGAAGTAGCAACAAAAATAATTTTATGGTTGGGGGTCACCACATGAGGAACTGTATTAAAGGGTTGCAGCATTAGGAAGGTAGAGAACCACTGATTTAGACTATTTGAGATTGAATATATTTGCATTTGACACAAATAATTCAGAAATAATTCATTGCACACCTAAAATACAAGTAATATGTGAATCAGATGTTGTATCAATAAAAGCTATTATTGGTAATAATTACAATTGTTCATATATCAACAATATCACAATTGACAACTACTACTCTAGTTTAATAAAATTGTCATAGGGCACTGGCCCCATATACCAAGGGCACTGGGTTCGAGCCCAGCCCCAGCGAAACTGCAATAAAAAAATAGCTGGGCATTGAGCTGGGCACCTGTGGTCCCAGTTACTCAGGAGGCTGAGGCAGAAGAATCACCTAAGCCCAGGAGTTGAAGGTTGCTGTGAGCTGTGACGCCACGGCACTATACCAAGGGTGATAAAGTGAGACTCTGTCTCTAAAAAAAAGAAAGAAAGAGAAAAGAAAAGAAATTGTCATAGTTTTTTATCTCAATTCATCTTGAAGGAGTAAAAAGAATAATTGAATAACTTTGACATTTTTATTCAATCTCGATTCAGTTATTTTTCAGAAAATAATACAAGAGTTTTAAGAAACAGCATTACTGGGCAGCGCCTGTGGCTCAAAGGAGTAGGTCACCAGCCCCATATGCCAAAGGTGGTGGGTTCAAACCTAGCTGCAGCCAAAAACTGAAAAAAAAAAAAGGAAATAGCATTACTTGTTTTAAATTTTTTTATATGGTACCTCATGAAGCTAAAGAAAATATATTAAATAAAGTATATTAAGGTTTAGACCTAGCAAAACAGAAATGCAATAGTGATTTTTTTTTTTTAACAAGTTGGAGGCAACATCAGAAATTGAGGCTATCCTAAAAAATCTAGTCCTGGAAAGTCATTCTATAAATAATAGATGTTTTTTAAAAACAAAATTGTTTTTGATTAGAAAAGTAACACATGTTCCATTAAAAAGATTTTGGTAGATACAGAAAAAAATCAGAGAAGAAAATATGACTCATTCCTCATCCTTTCATACCCTCACCCTCCAAAAATCAACATTAACATTTTAGTCCAGGTCCGCCCTTCCACCCGCGCCTCCGGGGCTCGCCGAGAGAAGGCCTCCACTGTTGGTTGGGTAGGAGAGGAGCCAGCCACCTTGGAGACACATCTCATGCCTTCTCTGCTCTCGGATAGAACATCTGCAGCTGCTTCCACAGGTCTGGGAGCCAGGCCTCAGGAAGAGACAAGCATGAACCCCTTATAGTCTCAGCATTATAGGGAAGCCTCCATCCACCCCTTTCCACTTCAGGGAAAAGAAGCTGAGAAGTGGACCCTGAGCCCAGCCCCCTCTCTCCTCTGGCCCCTGGTGGGCATGGACTAGCAGTTGTGAGCAGCCAGAGCTGATGCCCGGCCCCCAGGGGGCTGGAAGAGCCCCAACCATGAGCCTGGGAAAGCTCTCGCCTGTGGGCTGGGTATCCAGTTCGCAGGGAAAGAGGCGACTGACTGCAGACATGATCAGCCCCCCACTAGGGGACTTCCGCCACACCATGCACGTGGGCCGTGGTGGGGATGTTTTTGGTGACACCTCCTTCCTCAGTAACCATGGGGGGAGCTCCAGGAGCACCCATCGCTCACCCCGGAGCTACCTGGCCAAGAAGCTACAGCAGGTGCGGAGGGTGGGGGCACCACCCCGGCGGATGGCTTCTCCACCCACACCCTCACCAGCTCCACCTGCCATCTCCCCCATCATCAAGAACGCCATCTCCCTGCCCCAGCTCAACCAGGCTGCCTATGACAGCCTCGTGGTGGGCAAGCTCAGCTTTGATGGCAGCCCTGTCAGCTCTCCAGATGGCCGCTCCAATTATGGCCTGGATTCTGGGTTCTGCACCATCTCCCGCCTGCCCCGTTCAGAAAAACCTTGTGATGGAGACCGCAATGGTTCCTTCCAGCCCGGGCCTGAGCTTCGTCGCTCTGACTCTCTCTTATCCTTTCGCCTAGATCTTGACCTTGGGCCCTCTCTCCTCAGTGAGCTACTAGGGGTCATGAGCCTTTCTGAAGCACCTGCAACAGAGTCCCCCAACCCTACCACAAACCCTTCAGCCCCTGCTACAAATTTCCCAGCCCCTGCTGCAAGCCCCTCACCCTATGGACACTGTCCCAATGGGGTAACTGCTAGGTTGGGCCCAGAGGCTGAGGTGAGAGCCAGCCCGGTGGGTGAGGGTCCCCCAGTAGCCAATGACCCGGACCTCGGCAGGCACTGGGGTGCAGGCTGGCAGGGTGGCCGTCACTACTCCAAGATGGATGCTCGGTGTGAGCTGGTGGGGGTGCTGCCCCAGGCTCCCTCCTGGGAAAGCCTGGAGGAGGAGCAGGTGCCCCAGGCAGGCAGCAGGACCCCAGTACCCACCACAGTGCAAGCAAACACCTTCCAGTTTGCTGACACGGAGGAGGATGATGAGGTCAAGGTTTGAGTGTCTGGGGCATGGGCTCAGGACCCCGCCTAGCCTTGGGCACCTCTCTGAAGGGCCCAGGTGTAGAGCCAGCCTCTTCTCACTTAGCAGCCCCTCCTCCTACCAGACCTGAGAGAGAAGCCAAGATGCCTACAAACTCTTCCCTCTCTCTGCAGGACAGACCTGGGAAGGACAGGGAAGATGGGGCTTGCTCTGGAACCTGGGTTTTCCTGGTGGGCCCTGCCAGGTTGACCATCTTCCCCCAGTGCCACTCTGGACCCAGTAGCCATTCCTTAGGCCCCACCCTATGCCACCCCCTGCTGGCAGGAGGGCCCAGCCCCACAGTGCTGCCTTTGTGCCCTACGAAGCTGTCCTTGTTGGTTGAGGGGTGGGGAGTGTACCACACAGGGCCATTGTCTCACCTCCCACAGGGACCAGCAGCCCTCAGAGGGTCCCCACTGCACCCCTGAAAGCCCCATCCCAGGCTGCTTCCCCAACATCCCCACCTCAGCCTCCCACCTGCCCAGAAGCCTCACAGAAAGGTCAGATGTGACCTCACAAGGAGAAATCTCACCACCCCAGACCTGCCTCTGGAGGCTGATTAAAAAAGGCTTTTTTGAAAAAAAAAAAAAAAAAAAACATTTTAGTCCACAGAAGGAGTCATTACAGTGGGTCTTATCCTGGGTAAAGTCACCACTAATCCAACTCTACATAAAACAGTTTGTAAGAGTTCTGACCACGGGAAATTAAAATGCACTCACCTCCACGACACATTCATAAACTGTGTCATCCAACAAAGAAACCTTGCAGTGCATGTTTCTGTGTCTTCTGACTGATTTCTGCGAAGATTTTAATTCCCTTTCTGCTTTTGATTCAGGACTTTCTTCTTTTACTTCTACTTTGGAGCACTCTTCAAGTCCTTCCTCCTTAGTTTCAAAATCTGGGTCTTCTCTGTGTTCTTCCTGAGCAGGCTACATACCCGTGTCATCATCACGTCAATAATAAAGACACGTCACAAAACATGCTATAGACACTTTAACCTATAGTAATCTTACCAATAAACACACCCACTGAAGATGAAAAATTATTAAAACAAAATATAAGTGACATTAATATTAAATAATTATTTTTCCATAAAGGATATAATCCCCCAAAAGATCTACAGACTTTGCTATTCTCAAAACTTCTCAGGTAGAATTCCATCAAATCAGTTAATGAAGGTTTCAAACCAGAGGACATCAAACTATTGTTCTCAGCATTATGTATTCTTCCTGACTATGCCACTATATGATATTATTAAAGATTATCAAAACCTTTTTGTCTCTGCCCCATGCTCCTCAATTTTAGCAAGGTGGTCTTATTAATTGCAAAATAAGATGTGATTTTTTATATATTCTAATTTTTTAAAATAGCTAAGAGAGTTGCTTGAGACCAATTTAAGAGGATTAAGCAAGCATAGGTAGTAGGCTAAAACTTTTTAACTACCTACCAGTTAACCCCTTTCTACATTGTATCAATCATACTAAATGTAAAGATTCAAAGAAGGGAGAGAGGGATTGAAATCTAGGTCTCCTAAGGTAATCATTAAATTATCCCAAAGTAATACAGGTAAGTAAGGTAACATTTTGGCTTATATTTTACTAATTTTCTTTTCTTTTCTTTTTTCTCTTTCTGAGACAGAGTCTCACTCTGGCACCTTGAGTAGAACGCTGTGGCGTCACAGCTCACAGCAGCCTCAAGCTCTTGAGCTCAAGAGATTGTCTTGCTTCAGTTTTTTCTATTTTTAGTAGAAATATGATCTCACTATTGCTCAGGCTGGTCTCAAACTTATGATCTCAGGCAATCCACCAGCCCTGGCCTCCCAAAGGGCTAGGATTACAGGCATGAGCCACTGTGCCCGCCCCTTATTTTCAACACAATAAAACTCCTGAAAGATTTTTAATGATGCCTTCTTCACTACTGCTGAAAAGATTTTTAACTAAACCCTACTTATTCTTTTCTTTCAAAAGAATACACGGTTGGCAATTATAAGAAAGGATTTCATTACTTGGCTCTTGCCTTAGATAACTGGAGGTAGTCTAAAAGCCTCCTTCCCATCCTTCAGACTCTCTCACATGCAACCACAGAGAGGCTTTCACTGGGTACCCTATTGGTCCCATGCCCACTCTCCTATTTTTCATGTCAGTACTCTGTCTGTTGCATTTATAACACTAATTACAATGAATGTTTTGAGTTTATTACTTTTTTGTCTCTTCCATTAGACTGTAACATCCACAAGGATAAGAACCATGTTGGTTCTATAATAATAATTGTTAACATTTACAGAACAATTACAAAAGGCCAGTCACTATTCTAATAGCACTACTTAAATGAACTCACTTAATCCTCATAACAACTTTGTGGGACAGGTACTATTAATTAAGTCCACTTGACAGATGTGAAACTTAAGCCAGAGAACTTTTTTAGGATATACAATTATGAAGTCATATATCAGTATAGTTCACAAACTATAATGTCAAACATTTTCACCATTTTATAGTTTTTATTTACCAAGGTATATATAGCCTAGTGCCTGGCAAACATAATAGGTTTTCAATAAATATTTGTTGAATAAGTAAATAAATAAGCATTAAAAATTGATATATGGCTTAAGAAAATCCAAGGTACATTGGAAGAAGACTGGTACAATCTTATTATAATGCAAACTCACATCAGACCTTTATCTACAAGACTCTTATCCCAAAAGTTTTGACTGTAAAGTTAGTTTACAAAATACCTAAAATAGTTCACTCCTTTAAATAATATCCCTTTGAAATCTTATTAATAATACTTTTTATTTTTCTTCATAAATTTCTGCATACAATTCATTTCAATTCTAAATTAAGTCTTAATGAGATTTTAGTAAAACCTAAAATTAATTTTGTCATCTGTTTCACCTTGAGTACAAATCTATGAATTTTAGACCAAATAGATAAGTTCTGATTAAAATACTAACTAAAACAAGATATGCAAAAACAAAACAAAACAAAACAAAACAAAACAAAAAGGCTCGGCGCCTGTGGCTCAAGTGGCTAAGGCGCTAGCCACATACACCTAAGGTGGCGGGTTCGAATCCAGCTCAGGCCTGCCAAACAACGATGACGGCTGCAACTAAAAAAAAAAAAAATAGCCAGGCGTTGTGGCTGGCGCCTGTGGTCCTAGCTACTTGGGAGGCAGAGGCAAGAGACTTGCTAGAGCCCAGGAGTTGGAGGTTGCTGTGAGCTGTGATGTCACAGCACTCTACCCAGGGGGACAGCTTGAGGCTCTGTCTCAAAATAAATAAATAAATAAATAAAAAATAAAACAAGATATGGATTTTCCCCTACATAAAAAACCTCTTGAAAGTTCTAGGCTTCCTAAAAGATAATGTAATTTACCTGTTTTGGTATCCCTAAAATTAAATTAATGGTATTAAGATACATTGAGTTCCTTTGTCTTTACAGTTTGTGTTTACTTACTGAGTAATAATAGCTAACATTTATTGAGTGCTTATTAAAGGTCAAGTAATGTCTTAAGAGCTTTATATTTCTCTCTTTTAATCCTTACAATGACCAAATGAGATGGATATTATTATCCCTGTTGTAGAGAGGAAAAAACCAATAAAGCAAAAAGTGTTACTTCTCTGTAATTTGAATCCTCTAAGCTGATTCCATAGACCACATTCTTAATACTACATGGTAAATCTGTTTTCAACCATAATTACAATTTTATCCTGAATTTTACTCTTAGCACTGAATACTGAATAGAAGTAATTTCTAGAAATGCCTGTAACATTTTTAGGAATATTATATTATATTATATTTTAGGAATATATATTTTTTTAGACAGAGTTTCACTATGTTGCCCTTGGTAGAGTTCCGTGCCATCACAGCTCACAGCAAACTCTTGGGCTTAAGCGATTCTCTTGCCTCAGCCTACGAAGTAGCTGGGACTGCAAGCGCCCACCACAACACCTGACTATTTTCTTTTTTGGTTGCAGTTGTCATTATTGTTTAGCAGGCCCAGGCTGGGCTCGAACCCACCAGCCTAGGTGTATATGGCTGGTGCCCTACTCACTGAGCTACGGGCACCAGGCCATATTTTTAGAAAATTCTAATAAAACTATATAGCCTATAGCTGGGCGTTGTGGCGGGCCACAGCTCTCTACCAAGGGTGACAAAGTGAGACTCTGTCTCAAAAACAAACAAACAAAGAAACAAACAACTATATAGCCTAAACCTAAGATCGATAAGAGAAACATATAGGACTTATATTTTTAATAATGTAGATAATGTTCACATGCTTCAGAAATAAGACTGTGAAAATAATTCAATTTGTAGACAATAAAGCTTAAAATGAATGAGATTCCAAGGAAATAGTTTGAGTTATAGTACCAATATTTTCCCATGATTTTTTTTTTGACAAACAGACTCACAATTCACGTTTAGTTTAACTACACTGTGACACAATTATGGTCCCGGAGTACCATATTACACAGGTGATAGAAAGAGCTAGACCTCCTCCCCTATCTCTTTAGACTCTATGACAACCTGATCCAGTTAAAGATGATGAAGGAAATAAGACAGGCATGGCTTGAATCTATCAAATGCCTCTGGAAGGCTTGAATTCATCATGCAGCTTTGACAGATATTTCCATAAAAGGACCACATTTGTAGATAACAATCCCATCCTATAATTCTACCAAAGTAAACTCTAAACCATCACTTCTTTTCTCATTGTAATGAATTTGTTTCATTATTATAGCAAAATAATATATCAGCTGAATAAATTTATTTGATATCTTTCTTAATTTTTAAAGTTTAAGTTATCTTTTAAAAAATCAAGTTTCCAATGACCACATTAATCTCTTTTATTCTTTTTGTTTTGGAGACAGAGTCTCAAGCTGTTGCCCTGGGTAGAGTGCCATGGTGTCATAGCTCATCACAGCAACCTCCAACTCTTGGGCTCAAGCAATCTTCTTGCCTCAGTTTTTCTATTTTACTTGTAGTACAGATGGCGTCTTGCTTTTGCTCAGGATGGTTTTGAACTCGTGAGCTCAAGCAATCCACCCTCCTCGGCTTCCCAGAGTGCTAGGATTCCAGGCATGAGCCACCAGCACCTGGCCAACCACATTAATTTCTTTAAAGCAGAAATTACAAAGCTCCATGTTACTTACTACTATCAATGCCTAACTTAACTGGCAAGTAAAAAATAAAACCAAATGTTCTTAAATGAAAAATAAAGTTCATGAGGATGGCGCCTGTGGCTCAAAGGAGTAGGGCACCAGCCCCATATGCTGGAGGTGGTGGGTTCAAACCCAGCCCCAGCCAAAAAAAGGAAAGAAAAATAAAGTTTATGGGCAGCGCCTGTGGCTCAGTGAGTAGGGCACCAGCCCCATATACTGAGGGTGGTGGGTTCAAACACAACCCTAGCCTAACTGCAACAAAAAAATAGCCAGACATTGTGGCAGGCACCTGGTATCCCAGCTACTGGGGAGGCTGAGACGAAAGAATCACCTAAGCCCAAGAGCTGGAGGTTGCTATGAGCTGTGATACCATGGCACTCTACTGAGGGTGACAAAATGAGACTGTCTCTAAAAAAAAAAAAAAAGAAAGAAAGAAAAGTTTATAACCTGCTTACATTACACCCACCTCCCATATCCACACACCCTTACCTGTGTTTCTGCACTGCTTAATGAATGAAGATCCAAAGATGGGTCTGTTTTGAGTTCAGGTTCAGGAGCTGCAATTGGGGCCTTTAAAATGATCTCTTCATTAAAACCAGTTCCAAAATCTGTCTCTTTCTGACCTCCTTCCCCTTTTTCTTTATCTGACTCTATTTCTTTGCCTTCTTCCTCAGACACCTGAGATTTGGGCCTTTTGAGAAAGGAAGAGAACAGTCGTGATAGGCCCCTGCTTTCTGATGTCCGCTCTTTGTTCTTGGTCAAGTCTTCATGGGTAGGAGTGTCCCCATTAGACGTTTTCAGCTTCTGGTCATATTGATTATCTCCTTCAGCTGCTGTTTTAGAAGCCTCCTCCAGCTGAGATTCTTGTTGGCCTGAGTTTGTGGCTCCCTCACCCTCTTCCTTCTGTTGCTGGTGCTGTGAATTTTCAGCCTCAGCCGCTAAACTCTTCTCTGTTGTCATGATTTTGCTATTACAAAGAAGATGCAAAGGAGGCTCTTATAAGCAAAACACATTACTGTAGGCAAAACCCCAAACTCTAAAAAATTAATATGTTTAGGTATTTAATCACCAACAAATAGAATTCTAATCCATTAAACATCAGACTTTCCATTAAAGTACAAAAATATCTCACCTATACATCCTGAATAAAGTATTAATGCCTTGAGTCACCAAAAATATGCACACACATAGAGTAACTTAAAATAGTACCCACTGAGGCCACCTTACTGAAATCCATCATATATCAAATTCAACATTCAGAACTGTATTGCAAATACAGTTTTATCCCTCCTTAAAAAAGGATCTTATGTGTATACTGTCTTTTGAGGGTATCAATCTGTAGGTACAGGACTTGTAGGAATTATTTTCTGAAAAATTCTCCACACCCCAAATTTAAAAGTTCCAAGTCTTTATTGCTCTTTTTAAAATTATTTCTTAGAATGCATACACTTCTCTATAAAGAACAGCAAATGTAGGATAGGTGATTGATCAGACTTGATCAGACCTGACTGCATCAAGAACAATTATACATTTTAAATACGGTAACTGCAAACAAATGTCCTTAGGTTTTCATGTTACAATACCATACTAAACCTTTTTCAGAGGTATCTCATTTTAAGCTCTGAGCCTTCTTTTTTTTCTATTCTGATATGATTTTGAAAGCTCAGTAAGAGTAGAAAAATAGAGAAACAGGCAAAAAATTTTAGAAAACAAAAAGTAAATGTTGATTCACTTGCAGGAGAGGAGAAGGCAGGCTGGAGACCTCATGTATTTCAAACTTGTTGGTTTCTAGCCACATGATGTCAAAATCCCAGTATTATTAGTCAGGACTCACAATAACAGCCAAAGAGCATTGTCATGCCTAGTTTAACAAATAACCAACACACAGAGGACTTTTAAAACTCTGTGCAATGGCTCGGCGCCTGTAGCTCAACCGGCTAAGGCGCCAGCCACGTACACCTAAGGTGGCGGTTTCAAATCCAGCCCGGACCGCCAACAACAACAATGGCTGCAACCAAAAAATAGCCGGGCATTGTGGCGGGCGCCTGTGGTCCCAGCTACTTGGGAGGCGGAGGCAAGAGACTCACTTGAGCCCAGGAGTTGGAGGTTGCTATGAGCTGTAATGCCACGGCACTCTACCCAGGGGGACAGCTTGAGGCTCTGTCTCAAAAAAAAAAAAAAAACAACTCTGTGCAATGAAGTTGACTATTGATGACCTTATAATTGATTCACTGTTCCACTTAAAAGTACTTTGTGCCTATCTCTCAAAAAGCAGCATTTACATCGTCTTTGCATCTTTGCATCGTCTCTATACTATTAAAATGAAGGGCTGGTATCTGAAAGTTAACAATCTGAATTAGTGAACTAACTATATTTGGCTCATACCCTCCTCAGGCCCTTCATGCTTGCTCTTCTACTTACAAGGTTCTTCTCTTGGCTATTTGAAAATTGGTCTCCTTCACATCATTACTGTCTCAGCTTAGATGTCACCACTTTAGAGGGGCCTCTCCACACACCCTACCTGAAACAGTAGCCACTACTCCCCCAGATACCCTCACAGGATTACTACACTTATTACCCTCAATTATCTCAGTAACTTATTTTTTTTACTGGTTTATTGCCTTTCTTCCCTGTTCCTCACCCCAACTAAAATTTATGTTCTGTTAGGACAGAACCCATCTTTTTTTCACTGTATATCCACAATGCCCAGAATAGTACCTGATACATAATAGGTAGAAATAAAAGTTTGTTTAATGAGCAAATATAAACTACAAAGGTATTCCCTAAATTTATTCATTTACTCCAAAGGCATGATATTCATTGATTCATTCAACAAATACTTATCAAGTACCTAGCACAGGTTCTACGCTACATGCTAGAGACATAACACTTAACAAAAGAAAACAGATAAGGTCTGTGCCATCATAGATTTACATTCTTGATTCAGCGTTAACCAGTATAATGAAAGAAATATTAAAGAGAAATCTTAAAATATGAGCTAAACCTAGAATAATCATATACACGGGGACAAAGCAGTGAAAAGGACAAGGAAGCTATGCGCATCGGGCCCTGTGTCTGCGCCAGGTCCCACGCTAGGGGCATATCTCCATTATCTCAATTAAGTCTTTCAATGACCCTGCAAAGTAAAAGGGATTACCTAATCTGATAGCTGAGGAAATTGAAACTCAGAGAGGAACATTTCCAAGGTCATGCTTCTAGTAGGTAGCAAACCAATAGAAGTCGTCCTGACATATGTAAAGATATACAGGTTGAGTATCCCTTATCAAAAATGCTTGGGGGTCGTGCCTATGGCTCTAAGGAGTATGGTGCTAGCCCCATATACCAGAGGTGGCAGGTTCAAACCCGATCCCGGCCAAAAACTGCAAAAAAAAGAATAGAAAATGCTTGGGACCATAAGTGTTTCGAATTTGGGACTTTTTTTGGATTTTGGAATATTTACATATACATAATGAGATCTTTTAGGGATAGGACCCAAGTCTAAATACAAAATTCACTTATGTTCCATATACAATTATACAAATACCCTTACAGGTTTATTTCTTTTCTTATTGCTGTCTCTTTTTCTTTATGAGAAGGTCTTGCTCTATCACCCAGGCTAGAGTTTAGTGGCACAAGCATAGTTCACTGCAACCTTAAACTCCCAGCCTCAAGCAATCCTCCTGCCTCAGTCTCCTGAGTAGCTGGGACTACAGATGGGCCACCCTGTCCAGCTAATTTTTTTTTTTTTAATTTCTTGGAGAGACAGTCTTGCTATGGTGCCCAGGCTGGTCTCAGACTCCCAGCTCAAGAGATCCTCCCACCTCAATCTCCCAATCTAAAAGTAAGTTTATATAATATTTTCAACAATTTTATCCATGAAACAAAGTTTGTGTTAAGCAATTATATGTGGAAATTTCCACTTGTAGTGCCATGTTGACACTCAAAAAGTTTTAGGTTCTGGATTTTCAGATTTGGGATGCTCAAGGTGTATTAATAAAAGAAAAGGCTTCAATGTGAGCTCTTACCACTAATATACTCAAATTATTTTACTTTAAGCATTAGAAATACTTTAAACAATAAAAATATTTTTAAAAGTGCATTTTCTAAATAATAAAAATAAAAAAAGAAACACATTTTCTAGTCTCATTTAAGAAGTCACCCAAAAATGCCATGAAGGCTATGTTAACCAGTTTGATGAAAATATTTCAAATTGTATATAAAACCAGCACATTGTACCCCATGATTACATTGATGTACACAGCTATAATTTAATACAAAAAAAATTAGTCACCCAAATTACTCTGAGCTAATGAACTATATAATTTAGTTTTAGTTTTGTTTTTTTTTTGAGACAGTCTCAATTCATCATCCTCAGTAGAGCGCCATAGTGTCACAGCTCACAGCAACCTCAAACTCTTGGGTTTAAGCTATTCTCTTGTCTCAGCCTCCCACATAGCTGGGACTACAGGCACCTGCCATAACACCCGGCTATTGTTTTTGTTATTGTTGTCATTGTTGTTTAGCTGGCCCAGGCCAGGTTCAAACCCACCAGCCTCAGTGTATGTGGCTGGTGCCATAACCACTGTGCTGCTGGTGCCCAGCCTATGTAATTTAGTCTTTATGAGCACCACACAAAACATTTACCAACCATGAGTGGTGCCCATAGCTCAGTGGGTAGAGCGCCAGCCACATACACCAAGGCTGGTGGGTTCAAACTCAGCCCAGGCCTGCTAAACAATAATGACAACTCTAACAACAACAACAAAATAGCTGGGTGCCTGTAGTCCCAGCTACTTGGGAGGCTGAGGCAAGAGAATTGCTTAAGCCCAAGAGTTTGAAGTTGCTGTTAGCTGTGAAGCGACAGCACTTTATCGAGGGTGACATAGTAAGATTCTGTCTCAAACAAAACAAAACAAAATTTACCAACCAATATTCATTCCTAATCTGTTACCCCCAAGTGAAATACCCTTGTACTTAAATAAAGGAAATAAAATTGTCTGCAATTCCTCATTATATCAGGAGTAGGATGATTTTCCAAATTTCAATTGATTTTTCCAAAACTATTTTCCTTTAATCTCTAAAGTAATGAAACTTGAAACAGAAAATCTGGACACCAAAACAGCAGTTATTATAAAAAGTAATGATTTTAGGTGGGAAGATGGATAGAAGGAGGGTAATCGGTGGGACCACACCTATGGTGCATCTTACAAGGGTACATGCGAAATTTACTAAATGTAGAATATAAATGTCTTAACATAATAACTAAGAAAATGCCATGAAGTCTATGTTAACCAGTTTGATGAAAATATTTCGAATTGTACATAAAACCAGCACATTGTACCCCATGATTGCATTGATGTACACAGTTATGATTTAATTTTTTTAAAAAAAGTAATGATTTCAGACCTGGTGCCTGTAGCTCAACAGTTAGGGCGCCAGCCACATACACCAGAGCTGGTCGGCTCGAATCCAGTCCAGGCCTGCCAAACAACAATGACAACTACAACGAAAAAATAACCAGGCATTGTGGCGGGTGCCTGTAGTCCCAGCTACTTGGGAAGCTGAAGCAAGAGAATTGCTTAAGCCCAAGAATTTGATGTTGCTGTGAGCTGTGATGCCACAGCACTCTACCAAGGATGACATAATGAGACTCTGTTTCAAAAAAAAAAAAAAAGGTAATGACTTCATTTGATAGCACTATTTTACTTCATACTTCCTTTGCAACAGAAAGTAAGAAACGCTTACAATGTAATACTATTCTCCATGGATTTCAGCTATGGCATCTTTATTTGCATTACTGAAAAGAAACAGAACCCATTTCTATATTACAATTTACCTATATAACTGACTTTGAACAAAGATCTCTCATAAAGATCTATTAAAAATTACAAACCTTTTGGGAAACTTAAGCAGATATGAAAATCACTTAAACTTCACTTCTAATCATGTTTTCCTTGTATCTTTCAA